GCCAGCAACTCAATGCATTTAGACATCTAGACGTAGTGAAGGCGACTTGCTGAAGTTTAAACCGAGCATCACAATGAGGAAGAAAGGGGATTTAAGTGCCTCTGAATGTGGCATGGTTGTTGGTGCCAAATGGGCTGGTCTGAGTATTTCAAAAAACTGCTAATCTACTTGGATTTTCATGCACAACTATCTCTAGGGTTTACAGTGAATGGTCCAAAAAAGACAAAATATCCAGTGAGCGGCAATTGTATGGACTAATATGCCTTCTTGATATCAGAGGAGAATGGACAGGCTGGTTCAAGATGATAGAAAGGCAACAGTAACTCAAATAACCACTCGTTACAACCAAGGTATGCAGAATACCATCTCTTGTATCAATGGTTCAGGCTGGTGGTGGTGGTGTAATGGTGTGGGGGATATTTATTGGGCACTAGCAAGGTGTACCTAATTAAGTGTCTGGTGAGTGTATTTCAACATAAGATCTCATAGACACCTCCAGTTTTTGGCTTACTTTAGTGACTAGAAGCTGACACTAGAACAACAATGTTGTGGTGTATATCTCTGTACTGGCTGCTGCCAGGAACTAGTGAGCATATGGCTGTAGTTGCCAATTCTGTGAGTTGTGGGGGCTATTATGAAGCATGCATCCTGACTGGATTCTCTTTCTTTGGAAAGAAAGATTACTGGCTATTCCCCAACAGTCTAGAACAAGAAATGGAATACACTGCAAGACAAAGTGTCAAGGTTATGGATGGTAGATTAACGCTGAAAAGGTTGTGAGGATAGTCATCTGCTCCAGCATAGCAGGTACTTTTGATATGTAATTTTTTACAAGGCTTACTAGGCATAGAAGAGAGAGAGAGATTTTAAAAATGTATGAACTTTTTTATTAAGTAAAATAAGCAGTACCTGTCAAGTGTACAGTGGCAGCGGGCAATTTGTTGCTGGACATGATCCAACACGTCTGCTGTATGATGTCTGTATTTCAGGCATAAATGGCATGGCAAAACCTCTACTAACATATAGTGCAGGGAGAAGGACATGTTTCATATGATAGTGTTGCTCAGGGTGACTTGCAGAAATCCAATGAAGTGCAGAGAGAAAGGTGGAAAGTCTTGAAGCTTGAAACTGCTATTCACTTCTGTGCTCCCACCTACACTGCCCACCATTTAGAGGCATCATCACATCCAGTTGCAGAATTGACCTAGGGGGCTGTGAAAGATTGCTAGTGGTTGATTTACTAAAACTGGAGAGTGAAAAATCTGGTGCAGCTCCTCATAGAAACATATCGGCTTCCAGGTTTTATTGTCAAAGCTTAATTAAATGAGCTGAAGTTAGCAGCTGATTGGCTACCATGTACAGTTGCACCAGATTTTGCACTCTCCAGTTTTAGTAAATCAACCACATATTGTTGCAGGCCATAACTACATCATTAGGTGTTAGATATGGTATGCATCTGACTACAAACCAGGTAGAATGCCTTCTTACTGCAGATGGGAGCCAGTAATAGAAACATAGTACAGGCGTACCTCGGTTTACGAACGCCTTGGTTAACATAATTTTGGTTTAATCCATTGAAAATAATGGCTCGGTTTACAAATTTTTTGCGCAATACGAACAGATTAATTGGTTTTCAATGCATTTACAAATTTTTTTTAATCATGTCCCTATACAGTACTATGCCTTTAAAGTGCACATTATAAAGACTTTTGAACAGATAAAACTTTCTTTGACTTTTTTCTGACCTCCGGAATGGATTACAATTGGTTTTCAATGCATTTACGATTTTGTTTTTTTTTTTACTCATGTCCCTTTAATGCCTTTAAAGTGCACTTTATAAAGAGTTTTGAACAGATAAAACTTTTTTTTACTTTTTTCTGGCCTCCGGAACGTATTCATTGGTTTTCAAAGCATTTACGAATATATTCTTAATCATGTCCCTATACAGTATTTATGCCTTTAAAGTGCACTTAATAAATAGTTTTGAACAGATGAAAAACTTTTCTTTTACTTTTTTCTGACCTCCAGAACGGATTAATTGTTTTTCAATTTATTCCAATGGGAAACCGCATTTCAGTTTACGAATTTTTCGCAATATGAAAAGTATCAACAATTTAGGTAAGCACAATCCATAAATTCAAAGAATTTCAATTGACCAAATAGTATGATGATGATGTCTATGCCAACAATAACTTGGGCAAGTAAAATTTTAAGTAATGGACAGTGGGAGTTTTTGGTCACTGTTTCCATTCTGGATACTTTAGTATGGATGAATGGTGATTGCAGGTGGTGATAACTGTATATTTGCAGTTGGAGGAGTACAGTTGACAATGAGTAGGAGAAAAGATGGTGTGTTCCAAATAGTTGGTTTGTACCATCATCACTCACCTTTAATAGCCTGAGCAGATGCTGGGATGGGAGTGTGCAGCAGCAGCAGCAGATTATGATGCAATTTTGGGTTTGATTGGGAACCTTACTGATAATGAAGACCAGGATTGTTTGCTGTATTTCTAACACAGTAAAGTGTTACAAGTATATATCCATACATGATAGCTGAGGATCTTAGACATGGGTCTGGCTGAATATGCCATTTATTTTTCGTTTGGTTACACAGTTGCACATTGATGGCTATGGATATATTGTCACTTGATATGGAAAAATGTTATGATCAGAGTTTCTGATAGCTTGTCTCACACTGATGTCTGAGCACACATCTAACAGGGAGACTAAATGTGGGTGACCGCAATTGTGCCTAGCAGCAGGGGCACACTGGAGATGAGAACTGTCATTCTCCACAGCAAGGAGAGGGAAGTCTTTCAGGGAAAGGGATCCTGCGTTTGATCTGTTTGATCAATTCTGCCTGACTGTGATGAGAAAATGAATGAACAGTGGGGACTTGTAGTTCCTTAGTTCCTCACAGTGCTGCTTATTTACCTGAGGCTGCTAGAGGAAACAGGAAATGGGGGGTTGGGTTGACAAGAGGGTTGAGGGTGGGGCCACACATTGTAAAGATAACCAGGTTGGAGTGTAGGGCCGGCCATACATGGGTCAATTTTTGAACGATTTTGTGTTAAAAAATTGGACTCTGTTAGTGGGGCAATGGCATCGGCTGATTTTCGTGGTTCCTCCCCATTTCGTTTATCAGGCATGCTAGAAAATTTGTGAAAAATTACCGATTTTCAAAATCATTGGTGGTACCATCAGATTACAGAACAAACGATGTTTTCGGAATTCGACCCATGTATGGTCTGCTTAATTCTGCCTGCCTGTGACAAAAAATACACTGCAGGCCGCAACTCTGCCCCGTACTTTTTGTATACTGTGCTTCTTGTTCTGGATTACTTGATGACAGGCAAAGGTTCAAGTTCTTGTGATTAGAAAAATCCTTCTGTACTAGATTACTTGATAACAGGCACATTACTCTGAATAGGAAACACACAGCAGAGGGGGCACGGGCTCAGTGCTGGCTGTAACTCTCCCATAGCAATGCCCATAAATAGTCCGCAGCCTCCGGTGGAGTTACAGCTAGTGTAAACAAAAAATGTTATTTTATTTCCCAACTACACACAGATCAGAGTGGAACCAAGTGTTACATGTCATTGGACCCCGAGAGATTCATTAAGTCGTAGTTATAATTCCTTGTCGATCTGAGCTGATTCTCATGTTCTAGCTATCATTACATGTCTTTATCTTCTAACCTAGAGTCAGATGAAACATAACTAATATTACTGGAGAAAAACACAATTTGTGGCACTTAGCCTTGTGTACCCTCACCTATGGCAGAAATACATTTACCACAGGAACCACCATCACCAGTGCCATTTACCACAGAAGCACTGAAAGTAGAGAACAGTGAAAGTGGAGATGAAAAGAAACCATTACTTAGCAGAAAAACACATACATGAACTATTATCCATACTCGATGTCATAGAATCATCTTAATTTTCTTGCTGCATTTGGCAGTCATGAATTGCTTTCCTCCTTTGTAACATTTTTTTTTAGATCAGCTACATATTCTTGCAGCCATCTTTCCTATCACTTTAACATTTTTGTTGGTGGCAATAGAATGTTGTTTTTTTTGTGTTTCTTCTGCTTCTGTAATTCTTTCTAAAGGTCAGCTGTTTAAAAAAATTACACCTATGTTGTATAAAACACTTTTTTTATTTGACTTGACAGTGTGTGGGAGATTCAATGTCTAGTGTCAGAGACACTGAAGCTTCTCACTGTATAACTAAAGCTGTCATTTTTGTCACTGTACCAAGAAAAAAAAACATTTTATATATGTACAGTATATATATATATATATATACATACACACTATATTGGCAAAAGTATTGAGACGCTTGCCTTTACAGTCACATGAACTTTAATGGCATCCCAGTGTTAATACATAGGGTTCAATATTGAGTTGGCCCACCCTTTGCAGTTATAACAGCTTCAACTCTTCTGGGAAGGCTGTCCACAAGGTTTAGGAGTGTATATGGGAATTTTTTACCATTCTTCCAAGAAGTGCATTTGTGAGGTCAGGCACTGATGTTAGGCGAGGAGGCCTGGCTTGCAGGTCTCCGCTCTAATTCATATCAAAGTTGTTCTATCAGGTTGAGGTCAGGACTCTGTACAGGCCATTTTAAGTTCCTCCTCCACCTCAAACTCCTTCATCCATGTCTTAATGGATCTTGCTTTGTGCACTGGTACGCAGTCATGTTGGAACAGGAAGGGACCATCCCCAAACTGTTCCCACAAAGTTGGGAGCATGAAATTGTCCAAAATGTCTTGGTATGCTGATGTCTTATGAATTCCCTTCACTGGAACTAAGGGGCCAAGCCCAACCACTGAAAAACAACCCCACACCATAATCCCCCCTCCACCAAACTTTAAATTTGGCACAGTGCAGTCAGGTAAGTACTGTTCTCCTGGCAACCACCAAACCCAGACACGTCCATCAGATTGCCAGGCAGAGAAGTGTGATTCATAATTTCAGAGAACATGTCTCCACTGCTCTAGCGTCCAGTGGCAGCGTGCTTTACACCACTGCATCCGACGCTATGCATTGCACTTGGTGATCTAAGGCTTGGATGCAGCTGCTTGGCTATGGAAACCCATTCTATGAAGCTCTGTACGCACTGTTGTGTTAATCTGAAGGCCACATAAAGTTTGAAGGTCTTTACCTATTGACTGCAGACAGCTGGAGACTTCTGCGCACTGTGCTTTAGCATGCCCTGACCCCACTCTATCATTTTACGTGGCCTGCCACTTTGTGGCCGAGTTGATGTTGTTCCCAGTTGCTTCCACTTTGTTATATTACAACTTACAGTTGACTGTGGAATATTTAGTAGCAAGGAAATTTCATGGATGGACTTATTGCACAGGTGGTAATCTATCACGGTACCATGCTTGAATTCACTGAACTCCTGAGAGCAACCCATTCTTCCACAAATGTTTGTATAGCAGTTTGAATGCCTAGGGGTTTGATTTTATACACCTGTGACCATAAAGGTGATTGGAACGCCTGAAAACAATGACTTGGAGGGGTGTCCCAATACTTTTGGCAATATACTGTGTATGCACTAGTGCACAAAGCAAGGCCCATAAAGACATGGATGAGCGAGTTTGGGGTGGAGGAACTTGACTTGCCTGTACAGAGTCTTGACCTCAACCTGATAGAACACCTTTTGGGATGAATTAGAGCGGAGAGGCGAGGCAGGCCTTCTCATCCGACATCAGTGCCTGACCTCACAAATGCACTTCTTGGAAGAATGGTAAAAAATTCCCATAGACACACTCCTAAACCTTGTGGACAGCCTTCCCAGAAGAGTTGAAGCTGTTATAACTGCAAAGGATGGGCCAACTCAATATTGAACCCTATGGATTAACACTGGGATGCCATTAAAGTTCATGTGATTGTGAGCCAGGCCTTCTCATCCGACATCAGTGCCTGACCTCACAAATGTGCTTCTGGAAGAATGGTCAAACTTTTACATAGACACACTCCTAAATCTTGCGGACAGCCTTCCCAGAAGAGTTGAAGCTGTTAAGGGTCAGCTAACCGAATATTAAACCCTACGGGCTAAGACTGGGATTCCATTAAAGTTCATGTGTGTAAAAGCAGGCGTCCCAATACTTTTGCCAATATAGTGTGTGTGTGTGTGTGTGTGTATATATATATATATATATATATATATATATATATATATATATATATATATTTGTATTGTTCTTGCTCATTTGTATTAGACCTTTTGGCATGCTTTTACCATATTAGCCAGTATGCAACAGATTAGATGCCTGATTGACTGGGACACTGAATACATCCGATTTATAATTATTAAGGTTTTAGAAAAAGCCTTAGATAATGGATTCTTCAGTACATGAAGTTCCTCCTAATTCTGACCTTCAGTCGCTATTAGACCACAGAAGTAATTCTAATTTACCTTACTAGCCTGAGAATGGGACAGTGCTAAAAGCATCTGTGATATGAAAGTAAGAGCAATTCTTGCTGGGATTAGGCAATAATGAGCTAGTTATCAGTCAGTGCTGCCCTCTATGCTTACTGTGACTGCAGTGTTTGATATCATCAGTGAGGGCCTCAAATTTCGAGATACACACATGAATGAACATACAAACATATCCTTTTATACTGCAGGAATTTGGAGGTTGTGATGTAACATGGTAGGCTTGTATGGTTCATTACCTGTTCTCTATATCTGAGAACTGACAGTTTATTACCAATTAAAGCATAACTGCACTTAATTATTAACACACCTGAATGTGTCCCAGCATCTTCCAAAAAATACCAGTGCAATATGTATCCTTTTTTGGAAAGAAGTATTTTTTCACAACAATATAACCTGCAGGTGCCTTGCTCTAAGTATTCATTCTGTGCTCTGAAAAATCCTAAAGATTCCTTATTTATCTTAAAGTGCTACTATACCAAGGACCCTGAATTTACTATATTTGGTCTCCCACAGTACACAGAACATGGAAGTGCAATAATTTTAGTAAATATAAACTGCTAAATACCTTTTCTCATCAGCAGTTAGAGCAGTCTTGTGACTTCTATCAGTGTCTAGCAGAGCACTGATTAAAGCTTGTAGGAGGAGTTTTCATTCTGCTCTAGGAGGATGCAGAACCCCTGACCTCTGTCTGGACAGTGCTGATTGGCCCTGTACTGATCACATGCACTCTCCCAAGAAAAAAAAAACTTCTCTAGCAATATACACCAAGCTGAATATGTGCAGAATGACTCCACACAGTATTTCTTAGCAGGAGATAAGAGAGGGATGCTGGAAGAAGGGGAGGATCAGAGAAGTTAGGATCAAACATCCTTTTTACACAATGCAGAATATTAACCCCTTAGGTTCCACAGTAAGTATAACAAGCATGCTTTATTGCATATACAGACTGATTTTACTGTTATGGGTTTAGTAACACTTTAAATATAAAAAAAACAATAATAAGAGCAAAAGACAGCAAGGGATTTTATTGCCCAAAAAGCTATCAATCAAAATTAAAATACAGTTTGTAACTGACCCTAATACCTCCCTATGCAGTTTGTTTCCCCTGCAACAGCTTCCCCCTTTTTAAATAAGAGGCCTGGTTAGGCCGTAAGCCTCTATGTTGGCCATGCAGTACATTATGGTTTAAAAATACTTTCCCAGGCATTTCAGTGCATAAATTAGCTGGGACTGTGAATCTCAAAACTGCAGAATTAACCTCCATGAACCCACGGTAGCCACTACCTCAAACATTATTCCAAATGGTGGCCAAGAACAGTTTGTTTAGAGCAAAGATGGATGCAAACCAATCATGTTCTGCTGCTGGAAACAAGATTTATTTAGATTCATCATACTGATATTTTTTTCATGCATAGGCTGCACTGCATAGGCTGTAAGTACAAAAGCAAAATGTTTATTGAAAATACAGTTATACTTTAAAACTGATAGTTTTTTACTTGAAAGTTATAGTTTAAACTGAGTTGTACAGTTTATGGGTTACATTAAAGGTGGAAAAAGTTCTGAAATTATTTATCTTTGTCTCATTTTTTTACATCACAGAAACCTGACATTTTAACATGGTTGTGTAGACTTTTTATATTCACTGTATATTGTATAGTATGGAATTCCAGAGCTTGAGTATGTTTTCAGTATTCATAAACATGCTTTGATATAGTCCTATAAAATTAATTCTGCTCCCAGATTTTAAAAATATTTGATGTTTTCCATATAGTCAACTAAACATGACTCACATACTTTTTTTTTTTTTTTTTTTACAAATGTCCCAGTTGGACTGTTAATCAAATTGATTTGACAAAAAATAATAATGTCATTTTAATAGAATGTGAACCTCAGCATGCCAAATAATAATTATCACAAATATATATGGGAAAGAGAATTTTGCATTAAAAAAGTGCTGTGCTACCAGGGACATAACCAATAGTATCCCCATTGATCAGTTATCAGGAAACAACAGAGGAATTTCTAGTTGACAATTATTCCAAATACTGTGACTGTCATTGCAGATTATTAGGACTTTTCTTGCATGGTATGATTTCAAAGAATGATTGTTGCCGTTGGCCTGAATTTTTAAGAAAAAAAAATCTAAAACTGTGGCAGTCATACAAAAAAAAAAGATTAAAGTGGTTTCCTTGACACCCTTGTGATCTACAAGATGCTTATCCAGTAAAACAAGTCTTACAGTATTAATTAAGATTTAGATGCACGTATGCCAAGCTTTATATTCTATTTCTAAATTTAATTTACAAACTCAGCCAAGTATTCTTTAGTGACATATTGCCTGAGGTTAATTTGATTCTCTTGGTCTATTAAGGCAGCTTTGCTCTGTGACTGTTTTTATTACTTTTAGATTGTTTATATGAATACATTTAGGATGTTCTGTGAACATACATGGACCTAGTTAACAAGGTAATGCAAAGTTCAGTGATTTTGTGTGAAGTACCCTTAGCAACCAGATTTCAGTTTTCTGTGGCCAAATGAAAGAATTCAAATATTGTACACTATAGTATCTAAATGGCTAGCACACCTACCCTGCAGACACAGTTAGCACTCAGGAAACAATACATAGCATGCACATATAGTAAAAAAATTCTAATTTAAAGCAGAGCTACACTACATCTGAGCATCACAAAGCAAAAATGCTATTTAATTCATGTTTAATGATGATAGCAAACTCCCAATCCATCCATGTCTCCATGCTTTTTTTTCTTCTGGGAAATCACTATGAAAAATACCTCCTAGCAGTTTTGGCAATGGCCATCTAGAGTAAGGGCAGATGATTCCTGTAGCATTGACTTCCTGGAATCCATCTGCCCTTGGTTCAAGCAGGAGGATGTGCATAGCTGAGAAAACTCCTCCTCTCCTTCAAAAAACTCCTGGGATGTATGACATCATTTGCCTAGGCATGAAACCATGAAGTAGTTGAAGTAACATAATAAATAGTTTAACACAAGTAAATATTATATACGTTCCTATCTATCTACTAATGATAGCAGCATAAGGATTAAAATAGCCAATGTTGATTGAGAGAGTGAAGTTCCACTTTAATAATAACAGCGTATGTATAAATATACATTGACATAAAAAATCAAAAACAATGATGCAATAACAATATCCATAGTATGTAACTGAGAACCATTGCTGTTTTTAACTTTTAGGCCCCATGCACACGGGACGTTTTGATAACGCTGGGAACGTTAGCTGTGTAAAGTCACGTTAAAAACTTGAGTTTTTTTAGCTTTTTTTGCATTAGCGTTTAGCAGCGTTTTGCCGCAACGGCTCATTTGCGTTATTTAGCTTTTTTTTTAACCAAAAAATATTTTTTGGGGGTCAAAAAGACATCCACAAATGCCAGTTTGTGGTGTTTTACCGCATTTTACAGTGTTTTTCAGCGTTAGAGCATTTTAGAGCAAAAACACTCCTCTAGAAACCCACTGGTCCTGGGGTTTTTTTCCAGCCGAAAAACGCCCCAGCCAAAAAACGTTGAATTACAGTCTATGTGTGCATGGACACATAGGATAACATGCTGGGAGGTTTACTGGCTGTAAAAACATCATGTGTGTATGAGGACTTAAAGGGTTTTTTTTTATGAGGATTGAATGATTATGTACCATTTTGAGATGGTAGTACCCTAGGATTTGCTTTAGTGTCACCTAAAAAAAAAGGTATTGAAAATGTAAATTCTAGCTAGAGGATGGCAAAATTCAGAAGTCTGAAAATGTTCCTATAGATTACAATGAATTGCATGGAATTTATATTTCCTCCCTGTATCTGTAAGCCACATATCAAATGCCTGTTAAATGCCCTCTAAATGATACATATTCACAAAGTACTGGATGTGTAAAGCAAGACTTAAAATGCTAACAATGTAACTGGCAACTATACGTGTTGACTGCAGTGCTGGGAAACACATAGGCTGTTCACTGTGTTATGGAATTTGCATTGTGCAATGGAGTTTTGCTCAGCGCTTGAATGTGAAGTTTCACTTTGCAACGAATACCTAATCACTAATCAATGCAAGGAAAATTTAAAAAACAACCTTTTTTGCTTGCACATGATTGGATGATGAAAGTCAGCGGAGTTTCACGTCATTCGCTAAGCTCTGGGGAAAATTCACTTGCAGAATTTTCTTGAACTTGCTAAGGCAGCACTTAATCCCCCCAAAAAGTTAGATATTGAAGTGCCAAATGCTAAAAAAAGAAAATAAAGTGCTTATGCTTGTAAACCAATAAATCAAACAACATAAAACATTTGGTATCAACCAAGATATTTGCTGCAATAGAGGTGTGAACCCGCATAGAAAATAAAGTATATGTGCTTTTAAATTCATCCACTGATCGTTTTATCATCAGTCATATGAAATGATCAAATAAGTAAATAAAAAGCATTTAAATAAATAGATCAAATAAAATGATTTTTTTTTTAAATTAATTAGTCCACAAGACTTTCTTATCCCAGAAAAGGTCCATGTGCTAAAAGTGAAAAAAACTTTCTTACAACAGTCACCATAAATACAAGTGCTTGTGCTTTTGCAGTGCAAAAAACTTCTCAGAAAGATCTTGAGCAATAGTCGTGTCAATCTCCCAGTTGCAATCTGTGCTCATTCTTCCACCATGCCACTGTGCTCACATAGAATAGACACCAAAATGCCATAACCCTCTAAATTTGAGTGGTCATGAGCAGCATGTGTAAGCACCCCTAATGGCCCCACTCCTCAGCTGTATCTCTGGTATTAAGCAACGCCACGCCACAATGTTTATAAAAATGCGTGTACATAGAAGAAAAACATGCCCGCAATAGTGTAAAACCATACAAGATTACAATGATTATTTGTACATACATATATACAGGGTCTCAGCGCCTTTAAAAATCTCTCAGCCGGCATCAAACGCAGATTGGAACACTCCAGAGTACATGATGACCACACTTAAGCCACACCCAGTACGTAACTTCCCTTGCAAATGAAACAGTCTATTTACCTTTAGTAAATCAACCCATAATGTTTAGCGAATGGTCAGAGACTGCAAATGTGCTACATGAAATGGAAAGAAAATGCAAACATTCTATAGGAGTTGTTGGAGATTGGGGACATTTTCAGAAGACAATCTCACATTATGTGAGAATGGTAGAGATCACTGCTATTACTACTTCTTTACCAATAAATTCTTCCTTATTTGTGCTCCCACAACCCCCTTAAATTATTGTAAGAAATCATAAGAAAAATAGAAGAGCAATAGGCAGTACCAAAAGAAGTAAGAGTGGGAAAAAATAAACCAAACCATTTGACTACTAGAATCCAGTCAAAAAAGTCTTTTTCAGCAGTTTATATTTAGTAAAAGAATTGCATTTCCATGTTGTGTGTACTGTGGGAGACCAGATATATTGAATGCAGGGTCCTGGGTTTATTAACACTTTAACCCCTTCACGCTTAAGGGTAAAACAAATCTAAATGCCAAAGCACAATTTTGCAATGTTGACATGTGTTAGTAAAACCGTACATATCATTACAACTACTTTGTACATCCAGGTGGAATATACCTTGGTTTTTTCAGGACAAATTGGACTTTCATTTGGTGGTAAATGGTAATGGATATCTCCTGATTTTTTTTTCTATTATCAAAGGAAAACTGGCCCAAAATAGTAAAAAAAAAAACCATTTTTTTTTATTTACCTGTGTGTTTCTTATTACTACCATAACCTACCACCAAAGAACAATCAAAAATAAATTGTCTAGCTCTTGACAATCGCAGCGATACCATATATGTGTATGTTATTTGTTGTTTGTACCCGTAGTACAGCCCAGAAACAATAGTGTGTATTTTGTTTTTGTCTATTTTTTTTTTTTTTTACCTAAAACACACTGACACTGACATTGACACTAACTGACACTGATACCAATTTTTTTTTTAATCCTCAACTTTGACCCTGACCTTGACCCAAACACTTATCCTGGCACTGAACTAGATCAAATCTTGATCTAGGTATTGTTTCTTTATTTTATTTTTAATAATATTTATTTATTTTTACAAACATTTTATTTTTCTCTCTATGCCAGGAGTTAGAGAGACACAATGTATCTCTCCTCTCCATTTATAGAGAGAGAAAAAAACAAGGGGGCCGGGCTGCACAGTGACTGATCACTGTGATAGCCAATCAGAGGCTATCACAGTGATCATGTGACCCGGAATCGGGAGTTCTGGGTCCCGATCGTTAGAACAGGACCCGGGGCTCTCCGTGACACTGCAGTCTTTGTGCTGGGAGAGCACAATGCAGTGCGCTTCCAGCACAAAGACAGGTACGCAGGAGCACGCAATGCAGCGCGCTCCCAGCACAAAGACAGGTACATATGCGGACCCACGGAAAAAAGCCCAGTTCTGTGAGGCCGCATATTTGTGTGACATCAGCGTCAAGGTGTTAAGGTTCCTAGGTTTGGTAATAGTTATCTAAACAATAAATGAGGAAATCTGAGTATATTATCAATAAAAACTGATCCTTCCTCTACATATCCAAAACAAAATAGTTTGCCTGGAGTTACACTTTTGTTAAAGTAGAACTATAGACAACACTTATTTTTTTTTTCATTTTGGATAGAGTAAGGGAAGATTATAACCTTTTTTTGACTTCCATGTCCCATTGCGGAGATTTCCCTTCACTTCCTGTCTGATATCAAAACAGGAAGTGAGAGGAAATCCCTGCAAATTAGGGAAATTCCTTGGGGATCCCCAGGTCAAAAGAACTAGTGTCCTCATTGGAAGATTTACCCTTTATTACTTTTCTGGGGACAGCCCAAAATTTGGGATTTTATTTTTATTTTCACTTTCAATGATAATGGTAAACAGGACAAATAGGGTGAAGACAGCAATAAAAACCTAATTGGTGTTTTAATCCTGCTCCCCTCTGTCCAGAACTAAAAAAAAGGTTTTGCCTGTAGTTATATTTTAATAAATCTTATTCTTTCATACTGTGTACTTAGGTTTACAAGTTTATAATTTTAATGTATGAAGTCATAATTTGGGCAGTCATAATTGCTTCATGACAGGAGTAATTGAAACCTTTATGTCCACACAGATTTTTCCATTTTTCAATTATTTTAAGCATGTGCATTTTAAAATGACTTTCACAAACTGCGCAAGTTTTTTGTATTGCAGGCTGTTTTTAAAAATACATTTTTATTATTACTATTTTTTCACTAAAATATTTGCTCCTATTTATCCTGATTACAAGGACCCTAGGTATTTATAGATTTTATACACCTGACACTTGTTGTGCGTACATTTTTGGTTTCAAAGGATTATGCTTTTCTCATAGCATTTTCTAAGTTCAATGGCTCTAGCTCACTGAGGATTACAAATATAAAAAAAAAATGCTTTCTGCAAAAAAGTAGATACCCTAAGGTATTTAGCAAGTGTTATCATGTAAAAATAGCATTCTCAGTTTTTACAAAACTTATTGGAACATAGCAAAAATGTAGAACTTGGAGGTTATTATGTTTTTTTTAATTAAAAAAATAAATGTAGTATTTATACGGCTATTTATTCTTATTATATATTTGTCCAATGTGTTGTTCTTGCTAGATTTGAATCTTAAAGGACCTTTTAAGCTTGTAAGCTGTATTATTTGCATAATTCACTTTTAAATACCTTGCTGTGTGTGCAGGATCTAGTGATACGAAAAATCAAAAACCTTAAAAAAACACATGATTGAGAAAAAGCATACACTTTATTTTATTTAGTGACCCTTAAAAAACCTATGTCTAGAACATGCTTACTAAAGTATTTACATATTCTGAACCAGCATCAAAAAGGAATTTTAGGTAAGCCCTCATTCACCCATGTTTCTATAAACATTGTGGAGAAATAATTTTTCAAAGTTTAACCTCCCTGGCGGTATTCCCAAGTGTAGCTCGGGGTGAAGTTTCCGTACCACAAGCGGTAACCCCAAGCTACACTCGGGAATACCATGCGGCGCTGCTCCGGGATCTCTTCTTCACTTACCTTGTCCTGCGCTCCCACGATGTCCCCGCTGCAGTGTCCCCGGCAATGTCCTCCGGCGGATGCCAGCATCTGTCATCTGGGTTCCGTTCCCTGCTAGTGTTGGGACGTACGGGGACGGAATGGCGGGAAATTTGAAAATGACAAAAAGTGACATTCGCTAAATTCACTAAAATTACATAGTAAAACATTACTGTATCAAACCATTTCACATACATTTTGTCCCGAGTGCTTTGTCCTGTACCCTGCCTGCATTTTTACTGTTCTTTCTGCCTGGAAACTGAGAAATGTCCATGGCGTCCAAAAAGCGTCCCTTTAGGTCAAAACCGGTTTTAGACCAGCTAGAAAACAGCGATAGTAATTTAGAACCACTTGCAGAATTGAGTGATAATGATTCGTGGGGAAATTCGTCATCAGACACTGAAAACGATTTTGCGACTTTGCTCAGTGATGTGCGAACTTGACGCTATATTTCAAATTTCATTGTTTTTGGTTTGATTATATTATTGAATTAAATGTATTATTATTATTATATATTTTTATTTTTAATGATTATTTATTAAATTATAATTTATGATTTCGTGTTTCAAATTGTAACATACCCGGGATGTTTACTAGACTCTTGTTCGGACAGATTTCAGTGAGTTATTCCTAAAAATTACAGGCCTGCAATAAAAAAAACTCCAAAGACATGCTGGTAGGTTAATTGGATCCTGTCTAAATTGGCCCTAGTATGTGTATTTATGAATGTGAGTTAGGGACTTTAGATTGTACGTCCCTTGAGGGTTAGGGACTAATGTGAATGTATAATATATATGTAAAAGCGCTGCGCAAATTTGATGTCACTATATAAGTACCTGTAATAAATACTGTAATACATATTAAGATCAGTTAGAGAGGCCAGGAATGACTTGTTTTACTGCTTGTTAAGAATGTATAAATAGTTTAATGTCCATATCTTTGGCACAGGCACACTTTAACCTCTTCCCGACTGCCCTATAGTAGAATTACTGCTACAGGACGACAGGGCTGCACGCAAAATCACGTATATATACGTGATTTTGTATTTCTGGGAATAGCAGAGCAATACAAAGCAGCATGCTTACATAGTAAAGCACACACAGAAAACACAGTATAACAGTACACAGTTAACCCTTTGATTGCCCCAGATGTTCACCCCTTCCTGCCCAGTGTCATTAGTGCAGTGTCAGTGCTTTTTGTTAGCACTGATCACTGTACTAGTGTCACTGGGGATGTCAGTGATAGTCAGTTCCCCCCCAGTGTCAGAATGCCTGCCGCAGTCCCGCTATAAGCCGCTGATTGTCACCATTACTATTATTAAAAAAATAATAATTCCAGTATATATACCGCCATTTGTAGATGCTATAACTTTCAAGTAAACCAATTAACTTACATGATTGGGGGTTTTTTTCAGCAGTGACATGTAGCAGAATACGTTTTTGCCTAAATTCATAATTAAATTTGTTTTTTTTAAATTTTTTACTGGATATGTTTTATAGCAAAAAGTCAAAAAGATAGTTTTCATTTCAAAATTCACAGCCTTTTTTTTTTAGCACAAAAAATAAAAAAATGCAGAAGCGATCAAAAACCACCAAAAGAAAGCTCTATTTGTGGGAAAAAAAGGACATACATTTCATTTGGGTGCAGTGTTGTATGACTGCACAATTGTCAGTTAATGTAACGCAGCTCCGTTTTGCAAAAAATGGCCTGGTCAGGAAGGGGGGTAAATCCACTGGAGGGCAAGTGATTAATTTTGTTCATAATAGGTTCACTTATTCAGAGGGATTTCATGCAGCATGTGCTTACCTTTCTATAGTGCTACCACCGTAAGAGCCGCTAGTAGATTTGGGTCCTCTGCTCTTCGTTTGGCCCTAACCAGAGTTCCACTCCTACTGACACTACCAAAATACCTTGACCAAGGAGGCTCCCTGTAGCAACTCAAGAAAGATGCACACCAATTATGGTAAAACAAATGATCAGGTTGTATTTATGAGAAAAATGTCAAAACAAGGCGACAATTCAAGGCCTAAGCTGTAAATACAGCAAATCAACATAATGACAATACAATACTAAAAGATACCCTTTAGAGCGTGGCTACCTGTGTCTTACAGGACTAAGAGCAAAACAATAGCGCTTAGACTGGGAGATTGCCCCCCCAAGTGAGAAATGTAAGGAAATCAACTGGCTAGTTCACTTCTGGGCCCTCAGTCATGTTAGATAATGAGTTTATGTGAAATCTCCATTAATGGATGTAAATAATGTTAAAAGTACAAGTATATTTTAGTTAGATTCCTACCTTTCATCTGTTCATGGTCTGTCGGCCTTCTTGGAGGGGAGATTGGGACCACGGGTCGATAGACAGGTCCCCTTCCCCTCGACAGGATCGGACCTCAGGGCCAGTGGTACTGAGAATGTCCCCCCTGTTCCAGACTGATACCCTTCTTTTATTTCATTTGCACTGATTTGTACCAATTTGTATTACTGTGTTTAAAGAACAAAAAAAAACAAAAACTCAATAAAACAACAAATGGAAAACAAAAATTCCAACTTTTACAAATATTAAGTGTCTTTGGTGTTTGTTAACCAATAAAGGTTGTCACTTAAATTCTAAACTTTCTGCTTAATATTTTCTAACATTGTTGCAGTGTTGGTTATGTGGTACAACATTTCCACTAACCTAGTGCACAAAACTGGTAGCTACATACTTGAAAATCTATTACCTCAAAAACTCAGTCCATCTAACCATATGAGGGTTAGGCATCTGCCTATAAAACCATTTATTGAGAGGCATAATTAAAGTGTAAGTTCACCCCCCAAAAATCCCCCTATGCAATTCTGTATCCCCTGAATAGAACATACTAGAGTTTCCCCTGTTTTTAAATGGTGCACATCCTCCTATTACAGATGCAGCTGGGGGGGGGGGGGGGCGCGGTCATCACAAAAACAGCGGTCCCCTCATCTTCCTCCATCCTGCCATTTGCAGGAAGGGTTGAACATTACAATAATGCACCCCTAGAAAATACTTAAGGCTGTTGAAACTCTGCACGTACGCAGTGTGCCCTCTCCTTCAGTAGCTGAGCTCAGCTATAGAAGGAGATGGTGCACTATGCATTTGCACAGTTTTAATGGCCCATAGTGTCTACTGCTGAGCTCAGCTAGACCAGGAACATTGCACTGTGCTATTACTTTTTTATCGGTTATTGTTAGAACCTGTAAAGTTTGCAGTTGTGGTCAGTGGATCACTGACACACAGCACAGACTCCTGCAGACTATCCTTTCAGTCCCAGGTCTGTACCAAGCTACAAAAATTCAGTTATGGAGGTGGAGGAAGTATCAATGGACTACAAATTTGTTGATATCACTGCACGTGTGTTACATATACTATATGTCCCTTTGCCATGGTGACAGATTGGACTTGTAG